TAATGATTTATTTATTTTTTCATCAAATTTGAATTTCCACTGACCTCCTGGCAGTGTGCCACAGAATTCAATTTGAGAACCACTTATGAAAGCACATCTGTTAAAACCTAATTCAAAAAACACTATTTTCCTTTAGTTTCTGTTCCATTCTTAGACTTTAATTCAGTTTAATAAGATGAAAAAACAAAATGAAATAAGACCATGCAAACTAAAAACCCTCCTCAGGTGTGGTGGGGTTTGGAGCTATGTTAGCATGTTAGCATGCAACGATTCAATGCAATGGATGAAGTTAATGTGACTTAATCAATAATTCCACAAAATTAACAATTTAATACATTTTACCTGCTGGTGCAGCTTGATAAGAAGTCAGGGGATTCTCTAAACAATTAGGATTCATCCTCTGGGCACCATGAATGTGGATATCTAACGACAATCCATCAAATAAAGTTGAGGTTTTAAATCTGGATCGAAGCGGTCGACTGAAAACACGACAGCGCCGTCACCAGAGTCAGAGTTCAGGGAGTCAGAGCAAGAACCACGTCGTCATGTAAAATTGTGAAAGCATTATTTTTAATGACATGATGTTACCACAGCTGGGGGATGATATCACGATCAACCCTTCTCTGGACCTCGTCAGCCTTTTTCTCGCTAACGTCATCTCTTGCAGTTGTTCTGCTGCCGTTTGAGAAGCAATCACGATGAAAAGCCCAAACAAGGACCGACAGTCAACAACCAGAATCCCACACCAGGTTTTTAAAGAAAATGATTTTAAAGTTTAATTGGAGCCGCCTGATGCAGATCCCCGTTTCTCCGGATACCTCTGACATGAAGTCACCTCTTTTCTCTCCTCGGCCGGGACAGGAAACATTCAGATGAGCTTATCCACTGGTTGTTGTTGCGAGACGATGTAATCATATAGATATTTAAACTTCCACCTCGAGGAAAGCTGGGCACGCAGCCAGTTGCTTTGCTAACAGGATGGTTTTTATTACAGGACTGAAAGGAAGCAAGAGCATGTAACATAAAAAAAACACAAGGAAACAAGCACGCAACACAAACTACACGCTGAGGTTTTTTCAGTAACTTCCCTTGTGTATGTTTATGTCAGAGTTGTCGTTAAGGAACTCGGATGCAGTGATGACTGACATGTCCTTGGGGACCAGCAGGCAGAGCAAGACACAACATATTTCATACGACTGTGGACACAGCTGCTTTTCTGGTTCTGCTGAGACTCTGCTGAGCTGCCAGGCTTCGCTTTTGATCAGTTTCCCTTTATTTTCACTTGATCGTTCTGGCCGTTCTTACCCGCTCAAACTTATTTGCATTTAATGCTAAATAGTGAGCTGTCACAAATGAATCACTGGAGAGGTTTTTCATGTTGCAAATGGAAAACAACCAGATTCCCGGTGTTTTGATTTGTCTTCTTTCATAGAGAATATAATCGTGGTGTAGTCAGTTCACATTGGAACGACTGAGGAAAGAGCAATGTGGACTAATGGTGTCATGGAAATGGTTATAAAGGTTACTAACATCTATTAATTGATTTACTGTGTCATGATAACTGATGTCTGTTTATCTGATTGATTGTAATCTACATTTCACAGAAACAACTGAGCAGATTTCCACGAAACTTGGTCGTATATCTTCATATATCATCTATGGTTATTGGTCAGGAAATGAAGGTGGCTTCTTTAACTTTGCTCACACCACTCGAGGCAGATGGCCGCCCACATGCAGTCTGTTTCCTCCAGAGGTTAAAAACTTTTTCTCTCCACAGTCGCCTACTCGTAGCAGGAAGTGTGTTTTTTTTTTTTTCTTAAATTTTGTTTGGTCTCATGTAAAGTGTCTTGAGATAATGTGTTACGACCCGGCTCGCTATGAAAGAGGTGGCGAAGCAGATGTTTTTTTGGTAAAAGAAAGTTGTTTTGGTTTTTAAAAGACTGTAGAACAATGCAGGTGACATGAACTAACAGCAAAGCAAGGAACCGGTGCTATTTCAAATAAATCTAACAAAGAGGACGCTTCACAAGAGCTACATGAATCTCATGCAAACCAAAAACAAAAGGTCACTGTGGCAGAAGACAATGACA